TTCCGATTCCGTTGTTATTGGTTTTTATTAAAATTCACTCATTTGTGCTCATCGTTACTGACAATGATAGTGATCACGGATGTGCACAGTTTCACTCTTTTCTTTCACCTTGTGATTAGGGGCAAATATTTGAAAATCGATCGTTAATTTTTGAGCTATCGTTTACTGGTGCCTAGTGAATTAAAATTATCCACAACTTTGATCTGAAGGATATCACTCGATGTTTATTGCAATGATTCTTGAAATAGTAGTTCAACTCATCACCTCGAATGCCTTCAGATCTGATTTGCTTTCTTTTTGGGATTCTCGAAACACCCATTCATCTAACAAAACTGATGCTAAGCGTTTTCAGTTTATTAGGAAGTGATTTCGTAGAGTTCTTCGTCAGAGATTAATAATTCTTCGTTTCGCCACTATCCTGGATTTCTTAGTTGTCACGGGCCCATCAGCCCAGATTTTGGCTTTTGAGTTTGTAAATTCACTATGGACACTGTCGACATAAAAATGTTTTAGTCGTTGTGATTAATAACATGGAAGTGAACCGTTTTAGGCTTTATTCGTTTTAAGTGTTTTGGTTCAAATGTGGATTCTCTAATGATAATAAAAGTAACTGTCACTTAATTGTGAAATACTAACCTAGCCTAGTCGATTTATGGCCAGTTAGCCCGTAACCTGCGTGGAATACCTGATTTGGTAGGATGCTTTCGAGTGGATTTCACAGATGGTCAACTGTATCTCCCTTCGTTGTTGTCGGGTCGAATTTAACTGACTGACTGTCTTTGAAGACAACACCTAAACAAACACGAACTGGCAATGCTGGTCGGCACAGTGGTAACACACACCTTCCATGTAACATGTCCGGATTTCAAATCCCGGACCGGACGGTGAATATGTATTACTGATGAGCTCTAATGCGAACGAGACTCGAGTCTAGTGCTTCTGAGTTTATCGTTGTCTGGAAGATCTAAGGAATGTGCGTAAACATGAAGTGTGAAGAATGGTCAGTTCCTCAATCAGTCAGTAAATTGACTTTCAAGTACGTCATTCTATTTTACGCACATTATTCATAATTGGTTATCTTATTGTGGATGTTATAATGTTAATAACAGCGATGTCAGTAGAGAATTGTATTCGCCGACGTTTCGGTCCCCGTGGGCAACCTTTCTCAAGGCAGGTTTTAAAATCAAAATAATTAGTTATCAGTTTTATTAACTTATTGGTTCGAACTGACTTGAACCATTGTGCTATAATTTAGTGACATCTGGAACAAATTCAACATGGTTAATAACTTGTTAAACTTTTTACCTATGGGACTTTTGTTCTCAAACAGATTGGAATTTCTGTATAAGCTAGAATTTATTCACTGCATTAGTTCACCAATCATATTTCTTAGACTAGTATCCGCGAGATTGAATTCGATTTTCACTGACTGTGAACTTTACGCAACTGAACTGAACTGGCAGCCATTGATGCAGGCGCGGTTTTGTTTCTCTGCCTTGGTTTTCGGTCACCGCAACTGTGAAGTCCACAAAAATCGTTCATCCTGTCTCACGCGCGCTCGCTCGCTTCATGAATGTACGCTATTCTTCAACGTGTCCTATAAACGGTTGTGAACAATATACCATGTAAAACCTATCTGAACCACAGCGTGCACACATGCTCGCGCACATCCTCATAGTATAGTAGTAGTAGTCTTTCGGGATGAAACGTCCATTCGGGACTAGTTCTTTCCTTGTGCCAATAAGTCACGTGTTCTAGGTCAGGTCGTACTTTTTACGTTCAACTGAACTGCTCGATCCAGCGAAGACAGAAACATTCGTTCGATCTTCTTCCATGTAATTAACTGATCAGAGGTCGATTATCAATCATCAATCAATATAATCTGTTATCAATCACAACTTTAGCTTATTCATCTCATCTGAATGCAGTCTACCAGTACTACTACTGCTGCTCCCCCTGTATGCAAATATCATCTCACACTGCTTTGATCATGATGTTCCCTGTGCGCCAATATTTGTTTAGTCAACCCGTGTGATAAACTAACTGGCCCGACTGACCGATTCAGTGAACGATATGCGTACATTCTGTCTATTATGTCTTTTAAAAGATTGGTTGCTGGTTCGATACGTTTGTTCTGCTGATCATTTTGAGGCAGTTTAGCGTTAGATTTGTTCAGCAAATGATGAATCATTTTTGGACATTTCGCCAGGTCCGCCATTGATAAATTACTACATAGAGAATGACATTACTACGATCAATCGGAACTGTCCGACTAGAAGTCGCTTGTAAAAAACTGTCTATACAACTCTTTCTCTCTCTCAGCTTGTATAAAGCTAGTCATTTCACCTAAAACGAACTTTTCTGCAAGTACCGCCTTATCGGTGCACCATCGAACACTGGACCAATTTCGTTGACTTCAAGTATAGTGTCTAGTTGATTCGAAAGACCACCATCTCCTCCTAGTTGAAATCAAAACTATATATATATATATAAGCATGGTGCTAACGCCACAACGGTGATAACAGGGAAGGGGTGAATTGGGATACCGAACTGGTGTCATAGTGTTATTCACTGTCAATCAAAAAAATCTAAGTTAAGTCAAGAATGCAATTTAATCATCCATTTGCAGTGAAAAAAGTTACCACTTTTACTTTGGCGCACATGCAATTAAAATGAACATTCAGTAAATAGTCAATGGTTACGAATAGTGAGAACGCGTGGCGAAAGTAGAAACTGCAGCATAAATCACAAGGGATTGTTTGTCCGTTCCTTTGATAGTCGTACCCTGGAAAACAATAAACAAGAAAGGCAAGGTACAACAGAACAGGGGAAAATCTGTGGTGCAGGTGTATGAAAGTTTAAATTTATTGCGGGTGACAGACATAGACATAAAACGGGAAAGGATTGGTTGTAGAGGACATGATGTAAGATGTTGGTTGACAATGGAGCCTACCAGCGCCCCTGTTGGGGAAAGCTCTATGTCGAGATGGTGTCTGATTGAATTGCAATCCTTAGACAACAGACCGGGGTAGATAGCGGGAGTGCAGTAGGTCCAAACACGAGGAAATAAATTTGAAAGTTACATACCACGGCACTCTCATTTCGAAGGCGTGAGATGTAAAACATCAGTTTTATGATTTAAAGAAATGTTTGTTACACGTGGTAGAATCATTTGAAGTCTGTAGACAAAACATATCCAGTGTATTTGAAGTTCTGTGACCTTTCAACGTTTGAGCTGCTAACCGGGACGTTCGGAATCGGTGATCCGGAATGTGTAGATAGCCTAAAATTTATGGAAAACAAAACTTCGATGCATTTGGTCGGGTTTAAAGAAAGGTCAACACCATATGACCATTCAGAAGTTGAACTTATGGCTGATTGAATGAGCCGATGGGTGGATGGAAGCGATCAAATTTCCATCCAGATGGGTAGATCTGTGCGCACGTGCAAGGATTGCGATGTACCTCTTATTCTAAATATCTTTGTCTGACGTGGTAAAAGTTGTTGGTTTCGTGTTCCGTTTCATGCTAGTTTTACTCATTTAGCAATGAACCATTCGAAGGCTGTTTTGAAACGACAAAACTGCCTTGTTCCACACATGTTTCTGTGTTTAAAAGGTGATCTCATGATTTTGAGACCTGCCCCGGTCTGTTTCAGTAATCTGTAGGGTTGATATAGCTGACGGTTTCCCATACTTCAGTTTAACCCATTTGCGCTTATTCTCGGAAATTGGTCCGTGATCACAATCCGTCCTCGAAAAGTTCACGCATCTAATGATCTATCCCTCATTTACTTCTCTTCAGCAAACCAAATGGAAATTAGCACAAATCTGTAGTGATGCTTGTAGAATAAACATTAATAAATGCAAGCAGTGAAATAGTGTCGAAAATTTTCGCTTTTCCTGGATTGGGCCTAAGGAAAAATCAGCACAACTGTCCTTAATGACCCCGAATCGTGCCCAGCGGCGCACCTCTTGTAAATCCCGTGTGTATTCACTTTAGTGGCTGGTTTTTTTAGCACCATTTCCCCGTTGATTCTATCGTTTCCCGTGCGGCAATCAGGCCTTCTTGATCTAGATTTTTTTGAATTGATTTCAACATTGTTCGCATTATCGCTCGTGCCCTTGTCCTGGCATTGTTTTTAGCGCTATTTGATTTGCAAACATCACTTCGAATACCGTCATCCTCGCCTACTTTTTTTCGAATCACGCGTTTTACGTACTCTTGTTCATTCACAATAGATTTTCTGGAACGCCGGGTGTCAAATGGTAGCTTTGAATTTTCAAACACCGGATTTGGCGATGCAGTTGAATCAAGGAAAATTCGAGTACAACGGAAATTGCGGGTGAGGTGACAATTAGCCAACGGTTTTGCGGTATATGCATTTCCACTAAATTCATTTTGAAGACGTCAATCATAGTAATTCACTTACGAGACAGAGTTGCATATTTCTTTTTCTTCAGTTACCTGTTGAAGCCGGAGTTCATGCGTCGACCGGAACGTCAGTTTGATCCGTTTTCGGAATCTCCGATGGATGGGGTGATTGCCGCAACCTGTGAAGTTCGAATCATTTCCGGTCAATTCTTGTCCGATCGAAAAGTGGGTACCTATGTGGAAGTGGACATGTACGGTTTGCCCACTGACACTATTCGCAAAGAGTTCCGTACTCGCGTTGTCCCGAACAACGGCTTGAATCCGGTCTACGGAGATGATGCCGTGTTTGTGTTTCGTAAGGTCAGTTTTGCTCTCGTAGGTTTGCACGCATTGGCATTGCTTCACAAACTTTTATCAAAATGAACTCTTCGGTGGCGTATTATAATAAAAAAATGGTCGTAGTATTCATAGATTTATTATGAGTAGTAATGCTTGCAAGCTAATGCACTTTTGTCCGATCGGATATTTCCACAGTCGAAAGAGGCGTGTGGGGTGGGTGAGTGGGTAGAACTTGGTTACAGAGCAATTTATTTTGT